ATGATTTAAAATCCGATTTAACTGTATATGAAGAACCATTCATCAATGATAGAGATCGTGTATGCTAACAATATGTATGATGACATTAATTGATATGATGATATTTTTAATTTTATGTAAGTTGATTTAAAAGTGTTATGGATAGTAGAATCATACTTTTGAATGTTGTTTTCAACGGTCCTATATAGAGAAAAATACCTTGATAACGAACTCTATTCAAGAATTACAGAACAACAATCAATTATTGATGAATTAGAAACATTTTCTGGTACACATTCATATCAACTGGAAGTGAAAGAAGATCATGATTTACATAATACAAACACGTTACTAATGACACTTGATGAAAGTCCAATAAAAAGTCAAACAATTGTACGTTTAGAAGAACAAGCACCTAGTTCTATTCGACGTTTAACAGCAAAACTTCGGCACAGTGTTGCTGCATCAGGTAACCTTCCTCTTTTAATATGATTTATTTTGTACTGAACCTTATCACGTTTTAGCAAGTGTTTTTGCGGAAAAGATTGCCCCAGGGCAAGGAAAAATGCTTCTTGAATTAGCACAGTTGGATGATCTTTCTGAACGACGTTCATCAACTAGTTCTCGATCATCAAAGACGCCAATAGATGAAGAACATCTTCAATATTTAATCGATATGTACCATGCATATGAAAAACAACATTTGCCTTATCAAGAACAAATTCGTGTCTTGACACTAATACCAAAATCTTGGAAGTTAAGTAGTCCAATAATTCAACAAAAGTTTCATTGTACCGATCATGCTGTAAAATTAGCACGAAAGCTAGGAAAATCATCATGTACTCCATTACACATGGAAGTGAAAGCGTAAGAAGATTAATTTAAATGTTTGTTTCTCTCTACAAGAAATTATTTTCATTCATTTAGACCAAAGATTAGACAACGTCTAGAACTTCAGAAACTTGATTATTTCATTAGTTGGCTTCTAGAAGCTGATTTATTAATATCTATACCATGGGGAAATACCAATTTAAAACTAGAAAACGGTCAAGTGATTTCTATTCCTAAACAAATGCTACAAGCACAACAAAGCCAAATCGTTCACTTATACCAAAATCATTGTAATAAATTGAATATTAGTTCTATGTCTGATCGGACTGTTTACTCGATATTACAAAACTTAAATGCAAGTGAAAAAAAAGTGATATCTGGAATAGATGAGTTTGTTAAAGATGCTTCCGAGGGTTGGTTGAATTTGAAAAAGATTATTCAACAATTGCATTTATCAAATGAACATAAAACTAAGTTGAACAGTATGCTAGAAAAAAGTAATCTGTATTTAAAATCAAAATATCGATGTCATTGTAATGAAACTGAACAAACAACAACTCATTGTACAGTATTTGCTCTTAGTCAAGCAAACAATTCATGTTATTCACAATCATGTGATCATGCTCATGATACATTTTGTGAAGGTACAGACGAGAAATTATATTTAACAATTCAGAATTTTTATATTTAATTATATGGTAGATTGTATGATGATTTTTCAATTGTTCGATGAAATAGAAGACTGTGTGAAGGCAATCAATGATGAAGAAGCAAAAAATGAGCTGTTGTATGATTTGAAGATTGTATGGGGAAACGTATTTCAACTCATGTGTCATCGAGTACGTGCTGCTCAACAAGAAATTCAAAAAAAGAAATATATTGATCAAATGGATGAAACAACAGCATTTTTAACTGTGGATTGGTCTCAAAAGATCCTTCCACAGCAGTTTAGAGAAGGACAAACTGCTTACTTTGGTAAGAAAGGTATGAGTCTTCTTGTAGGCTCTTTTGTTTTCAAAGATCCTTCTCATGGTAAGAAAAAGAATGTATTTTTTATCGATTTTTAAATCATAAGTGTTTTTCTTAATCTAGATAAATTAATTTCGAAAACTTATATGGTAGCGTTAACTAAATGTTCACAAAGTGAGTTTGAGACATTTTGTGCTGCACAACTGATACTTGAACAATTTCATCAAGAACATCCACACATGTGAGTAGATTTTTCTTGTCATTTCTCTAATAAAACCTAACTAATATTTAACATTTTATTTAATTTTTCAGTACGAAGTTGATAAAACGAAGTGATAATGCTTCTGTGTTATCTGGTAGTAACACCATTTTCTTAGAAAAAATATTTGCTGACAAGCTTTCGATGAAGTTATTGATGCTAGATTATTCTGAAATACAGGATGGGAAGTGTATGTGTGATAGATGCTCTGGTTCAGCAAAGCTACGCTTGAGAGCCTTCATGAATGCTGGCAATGATGTCATGAACGCTGTTGATATTAAAAAAGGTAAACTAAGAAATATTATCAATGTATTAAAAAAATACTTATCATATTTCATCAGGAGTTGAATATGGTGGAGGTGTAAAGGGCATTAAAATTGCAGTTGCTGAAGTTTCTAATAACAGTGAAACATTTAAGATAAAACCAATTCCTGAAGTTAGTTATATACGGAACATCGTGTACAACGATTCGAACTTGATCATACGGAAAGCAGTAAGTTGTCTTATTAAAATCATTTTCTTTTATTCCTTGTAAAAGAATGTGACTATTACCTTCTCGTTATTCGCTTTCTAGACAGGAATCGGACCAGGAAAACAATTTGATTATGAAGATTTATCAATATCTAGCAATGTCACACTAGTTTCCTCTTTTGAAAAATACGATTCTTGTTCATTTCACTCTTATAACCTTTTGGGGCGAAAAATACCAATTGAAGATTATGTACTTCGCATTCGCACAGCTCGTTTTCCTGATGGTTCTAAAAGATTTAATACTTCTCAATATATAACAAAAATCAAGTAAATTTAATTATTGCACAACCTAATCTAACCATAACAATCTTTAGGTAAAAAATCAGATAAAAATGTTATCCAAAGCATCAACAGCTGATTCATCCAAAGGTAAAAAGCGTGTGCATAATGATGCTTCAACAAAAGGTAAAAATAAACCGATTCTTTACTACTTAAGCATTCATTACATATTTCCTTCTATTTAGAAAATCGATTAAACAAATCCAAAATAAACAGCAATACAACATTACCACTTATCGAAGAGAATACAGATGATGATACATCAGATGAGGAAGATACACGAGCAGTTGAATCAGCTACGCAATTCGAAGATTTGAAACAGATGATTATTAATTCTGAATTTTAATTTCCTATTTTATTCTAATATTTATTCGCCATTATAAGCAGAAAAATTTTTTCGAGTTCATTTTGTAGATACAAATTTTCATGAGTTGCGATAAATAAAATTTCCCTTTTATTGACTTTTTAATAAGATGTAGATCAA